AAAAGGATGCATAGTGCAAATTGTAACAGTCCATGAGCTAGAAATTGATTATCAATTCTTTCTGAATATTAAGCAAAGGCACTCGCCTATGACTCATTGTTCTGAAACCATCAATTAAACTGTTGCTTAGAGTAGGAGACATGTATCATACTTGGTTTTCTCCTAAACTATTTCCTAAAATCTATATGGCATTTCTGTATCATGTAGGCTAATGCTTTAAAATAAGGGTTTAAAATATTTAGGCTGGTAAGACGGGTAGGCGCAACCTAATTTCTTTAGAATATAACATATGTCTTTAACAATTTTCCAGATTTATTTAGAGTTTCTGAGTAGCCTTTTCTAATCTAACCTTCGAGGCTGACAAGCTGATAAGACCTTATTTGCGTGTTAGCTGACCTGCAAAGACACATTTAAGCTGTGAATCTAATAGGTTGGCTCTTTTTTGAGGCCTTTTATAAACCCTTTTTAAAATCATGTATCAACTTTAATTTTCTAGATTTCCTTTTTAACCATAAAAATTTAGTAAGACCTGTATCCTCTCATCTGCCAAATTTTACAGAATCATCCATAGATTTCTCATGTCTCTAAGCTAACGCTATAGGCTTTTGCTAACTTTTTAATAGACTGTCTCCTAGGGCTGAAATCAAAATTTTCCTGCTAAGACATTGACTGACTGACTGGATGCTCCTTTTGGCAATGTTAAAGTGATTTTGGTATTTTTTAAACAATATCTGAGGCAATGTAAATATCTCTCTAATCATATCCCAGGCAATTTAGGCATTTTCATTCATCCACATTCATAAATTCACAATCACATCATGCATCCAGGTGTGGCCACACCGTTCATTCATAACTTGTATACGTCTCACATTTCTCCTTTTGCCTAGGTTATGATCAATTTGTTGAAAAGAAAAATCCCTAATTGAAATTTCTAACATAGTAGCTATAGTGAATCATTGAAATATGAGCATCCAAAATTTGAACAATTCTAAGTTTAAATATGTTATCCTTTCTTTTCTATAAGTCTCAAAAACAGTTTCTGTCTGACTGTATCAATAGCATTTATATACATTAATTAGCCATCAACCCTGGCGGCACCTCCCACGACTGTAAGTTACCATGTGGAGGCAGGCGGCAGCCATTTTGTCTAGCCTGCCACAGATGCCAGCATGAGGTGGTACCAACCACTGGCTGAGGGCAGACAGACGGCGGCTGCTGCCGCTGCCATGGCTGACCTTGGCCTTATCTCGACTATGCCCTTCGGCTGTATTTTGGGCACAAGCCTGATCCCTTTTTTCTCTTTTGTTGGGACTATGTCTGACCTGGAGCTCTTTCTGAACATGCTCAAAGCAACCTCTAGAAGGCTCTATGTATTTCTTCCTCCCTGTGCCTTGCTTTCTGTGTAGGAATAACTTATCTTTAACTGAAGTTCCTGTAAGGCAGCCACCATCGCTAATCCCTGAGTGTAAGCTAGGTCCATATCTGAACAATTCTTAATGAATTCGCCACATCAGTCCTCCTCCTGTGAGGCCTTAGCACTGCCTGGCATGTCGCATTGGCATTCTCATAAGCTAGCTGCTTTGCAGCCAAAAGTCCAGCCTCTGTATCTCCCCTTATTCTAGACGACGCTTGCATTAGTCTGGAGACAAAAGTCCTGAAACAGTTCGTCTGGTCCCTGTCTGATTTTCGTTAAATCCTCCGCGTGCACCCCAGCAGCTGGAAGTTTATTCCAAGCTCTTTTGGCTGCCTCGGCAATCTGTGTGTACACTGATAGCTCAAAATTTAACTGCTCATCTATATTCTTGTATTCCCCATCATCAGCGAGCATCTCATAAGAAACAGGAAGTCCTTGAGCACTATTTTTCTCAGCTGCGACCTGACATTGGTCTGTAAACTTTGTCTTCCATAACAAATAATCTCCCCCAGACAGGCAGGCTTTGGCTATCTGCTTCCAATCCCCTGGGGGCAGAGCTTCCATAGCCATATTCTCTACCAGCATCTGGGTAAAAATTGCCATCGGTCCATACTGGACATAAGCCATTATTAATTCCTAGAGCTGTTTGAATGATATTGGCACATGTATCCTGTTATGTTCCCCTGAACCATTCTCTCTGATCCAGGAAACTTGTAAATTTCTTATCGCCTGTAAGCAATTTCGCTAAAATTTCCAAGTCTCTTAGCTCTTGTTGAATTTTACCATTGAGTATTTGTCTTTCTGTATTTCCAGCTTAAAATGAAGGAAGGAGGTGAAGGCTCCCTCCATCTAGGTACCTATTGTCTCTCCCTGCTGATCCCAATCACTTGTCTTGTATATTCTTTACTATCCAGCCACCCCTAAGTAGGCGCGGAGGTTCCTGTTCTCCATTACATTCCTAGATGCCTCCTGAGGGCCTGCGTGTATGCGAGGCCGCACCTATGTCTTCCCAAGCCCTTGTGCAACTCGAAATGCTGCATCATGGCAGGCAGTGGCTTTTGTAAGCGGGAAGGATCTTTTAAAACTTTTAAACTCTAAAATCTCCTGTACTTGAGCAGTCTAGGCTTCTACTATCTGTTTCTGGTTTGGGGTTTGAACTAAAGACAGGGTAATTGTTAAGGTTTTTAGGTGAATGAGGCTCAAGGCCCGTAACTAAAAGTCTGTGAGGGAACTGCCTCAGGTCCCTTTTCTATGAGCAATCTGGTAAGGTCCTTCTCCGACCTTTTTCCAAGTTAGGGGATGAATGTCTGGGCTTTCTAAAATGACCCATGGACATTTTTTGACAAAAGGGCAAAAAACTGAATCAAGTCCTTACATTTTACTCAAACTCCTCTTTCCCGAAAGGAAGTGTTTGACTTCCTTAGACAATTTGGCCCATCATTATGGAACGGAATGAGGGGGGACTTACCAGGGAATCAGTCACTCATGAGCGATGAGAACTTTTCCCAGACCAGAGTCCGTCTCAATCCGGCGAGCAGAACTTCCTTGTCGGTGTGCACTACCGAGGTTTCCTTGTGGGGGGGGTCTCCGTTAGGTGAAGATTCCGTACCTTGAGCCGCACGTTTGGTGCCACCTGCCCCGTCCCTCGGGGTTCCGGTAATTCGTGAGTCCAAGGTGGATCAGCCTGAAAATAATGGGCGGGAAAGAAAGAACGGGACCAAGCAGGTTTTCTTGTCAAGGCCCATTTATTGATTATTACAAGGGGTTAATATGTTAATTGCTCTCTGGCAGGTATCTGGAATCTCCTGTGTTAAGGAAGTGGGTGAAGGAATAGGTGTTAGTTGCTTCTCAGGCCAGGTATCCAGAATCTCCTATGTTTATCTCAAGCACTAACTAAGGAAATGGGGGA